GGTGGTAGGGTGAACCAATCTCCAAAAAGCTATTGCTTCCAACTTGGGGCCGCTGTGGACCATCGGTGTCATCAGATCATTTGTTAAAAGCGCCCACAACAATATGACACAGTTCTGCATATATATACGGGCCCGGATGGAATGGCTTGGAATTTCCACACCTCCTCCAACCCCGCTAGCTATACTCTCGTCTCGTCGCTTTTACGCAGCTTTCATAAGGCGGCAACCTCTCAGATCGTAAATAGAGCTTCTATTGCTCCTCGAGGCGAATTAGCGAAACATAAAGATTGAGCACGCAGACTCTCCATTGTTCCTGGGTGAGTAAAATTTTACATTTAAAATTATTTAAATATATAAATATTTTTGCCTCGTTGCAACGGAGTCTATGAGCTTGCCGTTGTAATCTTCGTATCCCAGGCTCATGGCTTTGGTTCCATTCATTTTCCTTCTTTGCTTTCACACTGCCCTAATTCTTATATACCCCGTCATTCTTTCTATCCGTTCTAACTAAACTCCCAAACATCTGACACTTGCACTTTTAGATCACCTTCGCGACACGTACCGTCCGTTCCACTCACCATCACCCATCATTATGGCTGCTGTACATGGTCCTATAGTACCCACCCATCCTTCCCCATTTCGGAATGCCCAGAGCGTTCCCCATTCTCGAATGGGTTATCATCCCGCTCCCTCGGTCAGTTTTAGTAGCCGTTCGCTATATTCGTATCCTTAACCATACATACATAGGCACACCTAAGCCTCAGTCTACTCAGCCTACGACAAGACACTCTGACCCTTTTTATGGTCACGAGCAGGTTTCCCGTTTGTGTGCTCGGTTCATCACCCATCTCTTTGCTTGTCCAGAGTACCCACCTTCCTCTTCTAACTCCCAAGTAAAGCTCCCTCATTTCATCGCGTATGCTCTTCATCGTACCAAACTTCATCCTCCGTAACCTTCGCTGCTCTTGTCTTGCTCCAGCGACTGAAGGCGCGCTTTCCCACCGCTCGGGGTTCTTCGGGTCACCGTCTGTTCGTCTCCGCTTTCATGCTCGCATCAAAGGTTATCTGTGACGACACTTACTCCAACAAATCCTGGAGTATTGTAGCGCAGGGCATGTTTCAGTTGCGGGAAATCAACCAGATGGAGCGCGAGATGTGTCAGTATCTGGAGTGGGAGCTTAATGTGGATCCGGTAACGCTGAGGGAGTTTGAGGACATGGTTAAGAAGGATTTTGTTGGTCAAGGACCCTACCCGACTTATATTCTTCCTTCATCCTCGAAGACCACCCCTCCTCCTACCACGAATCCCTTCCCGCCTCCTCCAGCTGCTCTGGCGCCCACGCCTTCATATGGCCACCGTTATCCATCGCCTCCGAAGCCCGCTTTTCCCCAATCAAATTCAACCTACATTACTTCGCCCACAACACCGGACACGCCGTCACCATGTTATTCAACATCGACGTCTCCAGCGTCGACGGCATCGCCCCCAACACCCCCGGGTATGGAGGACTGTACCGCTCGTATCGTATCAGCTTCGTCATCTCCAGGTATCCCAAAACACGAGCCTGTTCCGATTCCACCTCCATCAAAGCACAAGATGTTTGCGTTCGCTTCGCCGGCCGTCTGGTGAAGGGAGCTCATTGAGTGCATCGTGGTCTTTGTTGCATTTCTTACTGCCACTACACACTCATTCTTGCTCGTCTTGATGACGCCGCTAACATATACTCTTTCATCGCCGTCGGTCAGCATCGATCGCTCGCGGTGTTTTATTTACCAGGACTATCTATACCCTGCAGCATCATTACTTGGCCCAAGGCTGCTCTGGGACCGTGCTTCACCTACTGCATTATCATCATATGTTGTGTCAATAGCGCATTACAGTATTTCAATTGGCATATGTAAAACTATACTAAAGAATCAAAAATGCCACAATCACTCTGCAATATCAGAATGAATGCGAGACATTAATTGATGAGAATTGAGAGCATTTGATGCCCTGCCTCGAGGCACGTGCGACAACCGGCAGATCGCTTCCACGCACAGATAATTGCTTCAGACCTTCACACCCAAGTCGTACGACAGCGCCAGCTGACTTCTGATATGATCACTTTCGTTACTGCCAGCAGCCATAGTACGAAAGACAACGTTTACAAAAAGTCCGCCGGAACCGACTCCAATTCAGGACGCTACAGCTCGACAAGCACCAGTGATCTGCATGCTTCTACTCCATGCCGTCCCTTGTTCGACGTTAACTATAAGCGTGGCACAAAGAGCCTTTGAATTCAAAGCGCCACATTCTCGTCACTAATCCGCGTTGGTTGTACAAACCGACTGCCTTATCCGAGCGCCAGAAATGCAAAGTTCCATCAGACCTTTCCGATGGAAAAACCTTCATATGCCCAGGGGCTGTACACGTTTTTTTTGGGGATGGCGTTGGTACCTTCTCGTTCTCCCGCACGCCGCCGCCCTTTATGGTAAGCAACTCATCACTGGCTTAGGGTGCTATCTCCGGCTGCAAGGCCTTGCTAATTTTAGCTGCGTTGCTGCGGTCTAGAATTTTCACTGGATCTTGGATATCGTGGTGAGTGATCTACCTCCATTACGCCGAGACATTGCAATTTTTAAAGTGGCGTATCCTAACAGCACTTGAAGTACTTATATACAGCGACTTAGGAACAACTGCCCAGCGATCGTGACATTGCTTATCTCACAATTGTCAACAGGGTACTGCGTGTGTGCCCCATCAAATTATCCATGCGAGATGGACGCTGACATGGGCATTGACACATGCAGCTCTGCTAATCGGACCATAAGAGTTCATTCTTGCTTCTTGTCTAGCCGAGATAAGTGGCAGAAGGTAGCTGCTTACGGCTTACGAACGTATATTTGGCTTGTGATGAGCTTTGACTCGAAGATCTGAGCCTGTGCCTCCATAACCGCAAGTCATGGCAGGCGCACCTATTCATACTATGTCCAGTCCAAGTTGATGTGGTCGCCCTTTGACTTGGCGGGATCTTGCAGATCGCAAGGCTAATCTTGACACAAAAGAAAGAACAATCGAGCGGATTTTAATTGTAATCTTGGTCCTCAAAGACCAGGGGCCAGAACATGCTGTGGCCTCATGTCGTTATGTCTTGCTGATTTGGTAACCCTTGGTGCGGCCTTCTCCACAGGGTGGCGTGCATGCCGACAATGTGAGTTCATTATTACCAGAGTCACTTGTCAAATGGTAAAGTTAAGTTTTGGGCTTATAGATCATAGTGCTGTCGAAGGGGCACATTACACGAGTATCCGTCCTATAGCTATGCTATGCGATCTTCTGCACCTGTTACAGTCTCATGCCTAACAGACATGAGGTCTCGGTGCACAGAGTACGACACGGCGTTCATTGGTTTGCCTAGAATGTTGCAACGCACAGACCGTTTTGGTCGTCGTCTTAGTAGTTCCCTAAACTGCAGCCACCTTAACAATCAAGATAGTCGATGCATTTGCTATTAGGAGCGTTCAGTTGCGGTCAGCTGGAATGTGAGCATCTTACCACTTCTCCGCGGCCTTCCTTTTGTTTTTGCATATTTTCACATTTTAAGCCGAACATGATGGCGCTAGAATCGAAGTATCACCTATTTGAAGTGCTCGCCGTGCCGTGACTCGCATACCAATCAGGATTCAGGATTCTGTGCGCACCGGAGTGCTGTGCTCTCCGGAGCTTGACAATAGCCCACTGGAACGTATCGCGCTGGTCGAATCGCGCTGTGGACGGTGTTACTAGCCATCTGCCAGAAAATTGATGTATCGATATCGCGCACTGCTACATGTTGGCATAATGTACTGGCCAAAGACACTGTAATCTCACTCATTGCGGAAGGTATACCAACCATCTGCCATGAAATTGATGATTATGCACTGCACTGCCGTGTGTCCCGAGAGTGATACGCCCAACACATCAATGTTCACAGAATCGTGTTTCAAGCCGCTGACTGACGGGCACTATTTTCGACCCTCAAGTCTCGTTTTCTGGCACTGGTGAAATGCTGCATTGATGGAGTGTGGGGAATTGCTCCATGATGTTCTGTGAACGAACATAGGTGTGTACAGGTTTCGGCCGTATGTAAAACTTTCTGTGTGTTTTTTGTTCCACTTGCAGGGTCCATTCGATATTCTCTGACATGTTCTTGCTCTTCACTTTCATACACACGGGTCGCTGCTGGTGAGAACAGAGGCTTTTTGGCCGAGTTCTATGCACTATCTTTCATTCCAACTTGCAAGTCCAGTACGCCGTTGGATAACACACATGTCTCCTATCTCACGAATACAGAAGTTCCAGTGTCGAGACAGCATCGATATCGGACCTTTAGCACCGGATAACCCTAGACTAGACATCCCTCTTTTAAAATTATCAGATCCATCTACCCTTCCAATCCTGCACCCTCTATTATCACACGTTTGCATCGCGTTAGGAAACTCCCACTCAAATCACCAGTACCACAAATTATCTTCATAATGATTGGCAGGGGCGCATATGCGTCACGCAGGCTCGGCGGCCCCTCCTTTGATGTCATCTCTGACACACTGACACCAGCTGACACCTGTAATGATATCGCGCCTTCCCCACAGTTCGTCAGAGGCTCTCTCGGCTTTTGGAGCTTCTTATCAGGGATCGATAATCATTAACGCCTGTCTGTCGGTGCCACGTTCCACGAAGAACCTTCGAGATGTGATAGGCGCTCATGATCACGCTAGTACTCGACTTGGCAAGCTTAGAGAGCGCAAACGGTACTCGTAAGTCATATACTTGTTATATGCTGTGTTTCATCATCCAGGCGTAAGTTCCCTATATACCTCGATCGGCTGGAACTGGGATTATGGTTGTCGCGGTGCCTTGATCATCGTTTCAGGTGTCCTCATGCGTGCAAGCTTCTGTGCATCAATCTATTGGAGCTCTGTGATGTCATTTAGACTTTGGTTCGTGACTACATATCTGTCGTAGGACTGTTATCTATTCACTGATCGTCTGCGTCCGGTCCTGTTTCTTCGAAACTCTTATAGAAGATGATTGCATCGACATATTCCTCGCCCTCTCCGTCCTTCCGCCTCAGACGACCAGCCTTGGGTATAAGTCCAGCTTTCGTAAAGTTTAGTGCCTCCCACAACCTGTAATCGAAGTGATCAGCAAAGCACAGAAGCCAACGAAGATCGTCAAAGCTCACTTAACACTGGCAGTGTTATTATCATACACTAGGTTAAACACGCTGGCTTTGTATCCCAACGCTGGTGCATAGTACAGATACGATTTAGCAAGAATATGCCCATAACCACTGCCACGTTGGGAAGGGGGTACCATAAATCCTGCAT